CTCTGAGGTTTGGACTCACATGAATTTATTTATTCATTTATTTATGAACTAAAAAAAAAGAACAAAAGGAACAAAATAAACAGAAGACAGTTCAATCAGGATCAGAGATACTGCAAGAAGGTGAATGAGTAGGAAAACATGGTAGCGGACTATAAAATAAAAATGAATAAATGCCTTGAAATTGGAAGTATGAACACTATAATGGGGTTTACAGGATTCATACTGTTTCTTATGATGATGATTTGTCATATGAGGTTGTGATGACAGAAGCTAATATGATAAATAAGACATGGAATAATGACAACAATACAGAGAATATGTAGGGACTGCTATATAAGGCTGAGAAATAGTTTCATTTAGGAATTTAGCTCTGTATTTCTGGTCACCTTAACACAAAACTGACCAAAACTGCAAAATTATGAGGGACTAAAAAAACAAGCAAAGATGAAGGAAACTCACAAGAAAATAGATTAAGGAGACAGCAGCCATTCATCTACAAAGAAGCACAGGGACGAAAATATAAAAAGGTATCAAAGTGAACATTTATGGACAAAGGATACCCAAAGTTGTAACACATGAAGATTTAACGAATTACGATTCTCCAGAAGCAACGTTTCTGACAGATTGTATTTACATTTCTACATGTTTTAATCTTTTCCTATTAGAAAAATGTTATCCCAAGTCCCTGTATTTTAACTGCATGGGTTTTCTTATGCTAAAACATTTTAACTGACTGTGAACATATCCCTGAAAGCTTTCCCTGTTTTGCAAAGACAAAAGGACAACCAATCTACCAAGAGTGATCACTTGAGAAACAAGACCATTGCCCAGTAGGAAAAAAACTGCTCTCCACTTGCTGGGTAGCTTGATGAACATCATGAACATCAGAGCTTTGACACCCTGCTGCTGTGAGCTGCATAGCAAGAAGAGAAATGGGTGCTTGGAGCCATACCTCAACAGGACCGGAGTCATGCAGGGGTGGCTTCTCCGTACCTTTCCTCTGCTGTGCCTTTCCAGAAAATTCAGTGTAACAGAGTAGTCTTTGGTAACTTTTTTTCACCAAGTCTTTGGTAACTTGACAAGTGGCCTTCAAACTTCCAAGTGCTTCATTTTATTTTTACTTAAAATTTTAGCTAAGTTTATTTCTTTTATCCAAAAGTTAATTTCTGCAAAGAGAAGAGTCTCTATAGTTGTTGTGGTTTAAACCCAGCCAGACAGCTCTTTCACTCACTCCCCCCCCCCCTTTTCCTCCCTCTTTCTTTCCTTCCCCACCCCCCTTCCCCGCACCTGGAGGGATGGGGAGGAGAATCGAAAGAATGTAACTCCCGTGTGTTGAGATAAGAACAGTCCAGTAACTAAGGTATAACACAAACCACTACTGCTACCACCAATGATAATAACGATAAGAGAAATAACAAGGGAAGAGAATATGATACCACCTGCCGAAAAACGAGTCCAACCCAGAAGACCCCATGTGCTTCCGGGTAACTCTCAGTTACCCCCCCGAGCATGACGTGCTGTGGTATGGACTACCTCTTTGGCCTCCTCCCGGCCTCCTCTCCTCCCTGGCAGAGCATGAGACTCACAAAGTCCTTGGTCAGGCTAAACATTACTTAGCAACAACTAAAAACATCAGTGTTATCAGCACTGTTCCCAGGCTGAAAGTGAAAACACAGTGCTGCACCAGCTACCAAGAAGGAAAAAAATCGACTGCTACTGCTAAACCCAGGACAGTATCCACCCCTTATTCCATACCATTCACGTCATGCTCAGGTCCCACATTTTCAATATACCGTTGCTCTCACATATATATACATCCACATACACACACAGACCGAGAGAAAGAGATCATTTCTTTGTGCATGAACCAATCCCTATAATGCTGCCGAGTCCATCCGGTCCATGATGTCAGGCTCCATCCCTTGTAACAGTCTTTCAGGGCAGGAAAGGCTGTGAGCAGTGTTGGATCGTTGCCTGCTGATGCTGATGGTTCCTTTACTGCAGAACTCGTCTGGTTCTATCAAAGTTCATTCTTTGTTGGGATGATGGTTGGAGGGAAGTCAGGGCTAGTTGCTGGTGACCTGAAGACCTCTAGTTGATGGGCTATAAAAGTATTACACAGCAAGCAGCAGCAGCATACAATTAAGTTCATTGGCTATTTTCCCCTAAAACCAAATCCCCTTGAGGTATACATCGGACATCCCGATCTTCCCGCATTACCCACCAAGTATATCCAGGTCCCTAAGCAAAAGCAATCCCATGAGTGGGTTTGCCTTTCCCTGAAGCAGGAATAACCCAGACTGTCTTCCCCAGCAAATTCTTCATATGCACCACGGGAACTTTGTCCCCCTTTACAATATGTAAAAGTTCTGACTGGGCTGGGCCAGCCCTGTTGGCAGATCCTCTGGTGTTGACCAACCAGGTGGCCTTTGGTAAGTGTGTATCCCAATGCTTGAAAGTTCCCCCACCCATTGCTCTCAGTGTAGTTTTTAACAGCCCATTGTACCGTTCGATTTTCCCAGAGGCTGGTGCATGGTAGGGGATGTGATATACCCACTCAATGCCATGCTCTTTGGCCCAAATATCTATAAGGTTATTCCAGAAATGAGTCCCATTGTCTGACCCAGTTCTCTCTGGGGTGCCGTGTCGCCACAAAATCTGTTTCTCAAGGCCCAGGATAGTGTTCCGGGCAGTGGCTTGGGGCACTGCGTATGTTTCCAGCCATCCGGTGGTTGCTTCCACCATGGTAAGCACATGGCGCTTCCCTTGGCGGGTTGGTGGCAGTGTGATATAGTCAATCTGCCAGGCCTCCCCATATTTATACTTCAACCATCGTCCTCCATACCAAAGAGGCTTTATTCTTTTGGCTTGTTTAATTGCAGCACATGTTTCAAACTCATGAATAACCTGGGCAATAGTGTCCATTGTTAAATGCACCCCTCGATCACAGACCCATCTATATGTTGCATCTCTGCCCTGATGGCCTGAAGTGTCATGGGCCCACCAGGCCAAAAATAATTCACCTTTATGTTGCCAATCTAAGTCCATCTGAGCCACTTCAATCTTAGCCGCTTTATCCACTTGTTGGTTGTTCTGGTGTTCCTCAGTGGCCCGACTCTTGGGTACATGGGCATCTATATGATGTACCTTCACCACCACATTCTGCACCCGGGCAGCAATATCTTTCCACAGTGCAGCAGCCCAGATGAGTTTACCTCTGCGTTGCCAGTTGCTCTGCTTCCATTGCTTCAACCACCCCCACAGGGCATTTGCCACCATCCATGACTCAGTATAAAGTACTGGCCACGTTTCTCGTTCAGCAATGTCCAGGGCCAGCTGGATGGCTTTCACGTCGACAAACTGACTCTATTCACCCTCTCCTTCAGCAGTTTCTGCAACTTGTCGTCCAGGACTCCATACAGCTGCCTTCCATCTCCGATGCTTTCCCACAATAAGGCATACTGCTTTTCACTTTCTGACAGTTTATTATATGGTGGGGCCTCTTCAGCACGCACTACCTCCTCCTCTGGTGACATTCCAAAATCTTTGCCCTCTGGCCAGTCCATGATGACTTCTAGAATGCCTGGACGACTGGGATGTCCTGTTCGAGCTCGCTGTGTAATTAGTGCAGCCCATTTACTCCATGCAGCATCAGCTGCATGATGTGTAGAGGAGACTCTGCCTTTGAACATCCAGCCCAGCACGGGCAGCCGGGGTGCCAGGAGGAGCTGTGCTTCAGTGCCAATCACTTCTGAAGCAGCCCAAACCCCTTCATAGGCTGCCAGTACCTCTTTCTCAGTTGGGTTATAGCTGGCCTCAGATCCTTTGTATCCCCGACGCCAAAAGCCGAGGGGTTGACCTTGAGTCTCCCCTGGAGCTTTCTGCCAGAGGCTCCAGGTAGGACCGTTCTCCCCAGCTGTGGTGTACAGTACATTTTTTACACCTGGCCCGGTCCAGACTGGTCCAAGGGCTACTGCGTGAACTATCTCGCGTTTAATTTGCTCAAAGGCTTGTTGTTGCTCAGGGCCCCATTTAGAATCATTCTTCTTCTGGGTCACGTGATAGAGAGGGTTTACAATCGAACTGTAATTTGGGATGTGCATTCTTCAGAACCCCACTGCACCCAAGAAAGGTTGCCTTTCTTTTTTATTAGTTGGCATTTGCAATTAGTAGTTGCTATTATCTTGTTGATCACATCTGTGGGGATCTGTCTACGTCCATCTTGCCATTTTATTCCCAAAAATTGAATCTCCTGTGCAGGTCCCTTGACCTTACTCCGTTTTATGGCAAAACCAGCTTTCAGCAGGATTTGGATTATTTTCCTCCCTTTCTCAAAGACTTCTTCCGCTGTATTGCCCCACACAATAATGTCATCAATGTATTGCAGGTGTTCTGGAGCTTGCCTCTGTTCCAGTGCATTCTGGATTAGTCCATGGCAAATGGTAGGGCTGCGTTTCCACCCCTGGGGCAGTCGGTGGCAAGTGAACTGGACACCCCTCCAAGTAAAAGCAAACTGTGGCCTGCACTCTGCTGCCAAAGGAATTAAGAAAAATGCATTGGCAATATCAGTCGTGGCATACCACTTTGCTGCGTTTGACTCTAATTCATGCTGAAGTTCTAGCATGTCCGGTACGGCAGCACTCAGTGGTGGTGTGACTTCATTCAGGCCACAATAGTCTACTGTTAGTCTCCACTCTCCATTAGACTTTCGCACTGGCCATATGGGGCTATTAAAGGGCAAGCGGGTCCTGCTGATCACTCCCTGACTCTCCAGTCTATGGACCAGCTGATGGATGGGAATCAGGGAGACCCGGCTGGGGTGATATTGCTGCCGGTGCACTGTTGTGGTTGCAATTGGCACTTGCTGTTCTTCAACTTTCAGCAACCCCACAACAGAAGGAACCTCTGAGAGACCAGGGAGGGTGGACAGCTGCTTAATTTCCTTAGCCTCCAAAGCAGCAATACCAAAAGCCCATTGGTACCCTCTTGGGTCTTTGAAGTACCCTCTCCTGAGGTAGTCTATGCCAAGGATGCATGGAGCCTCTGGACCAGTCACAATGGGGTGCTTTTGCCATTCCCTCCCAGTCAGGCTGATTTCAGCCTCCAGTACAGTCGACTCCTGGGATCCTCCTGTCACTCCAGAAATAGGGATGGGTTCCACCCCTTGACAGCTTGATGGCATCAGGGTATGCTGTGCACCAGTATCTACTAGAGCCTTATACTTCTGTGGGACTGATGTGCCAGGCCATCTGATCCACACAGTCCAATAAATCCGATTGTCCCCTACCTCCACCTGGCTGGAGGCAGGGCCCCTCTAATGGTCATCACAGTGTTGGACACTTAAGTCGTGGTGAAAGGGATTATTCTTCATTATCACAGGAGCTGGAGTAAAATCAGCTCTTCCACTCCATCTGGGAACCTGCTCACCAGAGACCGAAGCCGTAGCTCTCATGGGATGATCACTCTTGACCCTTGCTCCCCTCTTCAATTCACTCTCCCGTTCCTCCAAAGCTGAAGTAGGTTTTCCATCCCACTTTGTCTGTCTTCTCCGTGATCCCGCAGGTAAAACCATAGGGTGGCCCATGGCTTATACCTCCTGTATCTCCTCTCTCGAACAATAGAACGCCTTTTGTTAATAGCTGAGATGTGTACATCATGTGTTGGTACACGTGAGGAGCTGGATAAATCAGATAGATCGTCCCTCAATTGTTTGAGATGCTGGGACAGTTTTTCCACAGCTGAGATGATGGAAGGGGTGAGATTGTCTTCGAACTCTCAGAGTTTATGAATCATTTCATCCACTGTTAGTGGTACTATGTCGTTCCAGTTTACTGTTGCCAATGAATGGGCATATGATGACGGTGCATTCCGTGTAAGTTTTCCCACATGGGTCGTGTACATTTGACTTCATCTGGGTCTATGGGTGTATCCCCGTTATTTGGCTTGATGTGATAGATCATCTCTACGATGGCTGAATCCCTCAGAGACTGGATGCCTTTGTCTAAAGTAGTCCACTTGGCTGATATGACTCATAATGTCATCCTTGTATGGAAACTTTTCTTTCACAGCTGCCAAGAGCTGCCTCCAAAGACTGAGGGACTTTTTCTCTCTTGTAATTGCTTTGTCAATTTCCCCTTCTCTAGCAAATGATCCCAGCTGCTTGGCTTCTGTACCTTCTAGTTCGTGACCATCAGCCCCATTGTCCCAGCATCGAAGCAACCAGGTGATGATGTGCTCCCCTGGTTGACGGGTAAAATCTTTTTGCATATTCCGCAGCTCGGTTGAGGTCCGAGGTTGAGAAGTCACCTCTTCTTCTTCTTCTTCGTCATGTGATGATGACTCTTGATCAGATGCTGGCCTGGGTGGCGAGTACATTGTTTCTTCATCTTGCTTCACCCTTCTTGTCTCTTTTTTGCTTTTTCTCTTGTGTACAGGGGCAACTGATATTGGTACGAATTGGTCCTCTGGTTTAGCTGCAGTGATTATCACTGTGGTTTGAATAGTGACTGTACTTGTTGCTGGGGGTGGTGTAGCTGCTGTGCTTGGAGCTGGGGTAGCCGCACTGTCTGTTGCAGTTGAAGTTTGAGTAGCTGCTTTCCTTGCCACTGGGATAGCTGTGCTGTTCGTTGCAGCCAAAGTTTGAGTAGTGACTGGTCTCTGGGGGTGGTGCAGCTGCTGTGCTTGGAGCTGGAGTAGCTGCGCTGACTGTTGCTTTGCCCTCAGATCCACCAACATTTTTTTCCTTTTGAAGGTGCTGGATAGTGTTGAACAAGGCCCTGTAAGCATAGGCCAAGCCCCAGCACGTTGCCATGATTTGTCCGTCTCTGGTATGGCCAGAATGACCACACGCCTCATTTAAGTGTTTTACTAATTCTTCTGGATTTTGCAGTTGTTGGGTGGTGAAATTCCAAAGTACTGGAGGGGCCCACTGACCTAGATACTTGCCCATACTATCCCACACACCCTGCCACTCACGGCTGTCCAGCCTTGGGGAAAATCTCTTGGTCCTCCTATATCGTCATTTAACCGCAGACAAGACCCAACACCTGAGTCTGCTTAACTTTTGAAATCAGATGAAATGGTCGTGGGCAAAACACACTCTGTATGTGTGCCAACATGGTGATCCCCATCGCAATCAGCAAATAAGTCTCAACAGTATTAAAAGACCATTCAAAAACTTCAAAACTCTCAAATGATGCTGTAAACGGTCTGGGGGGGAGGTGGGACTGGGAGGGTAAAAGAATGTCTCCTTCACAGGTTGACCACCCGAGAAGGAGAGAAAAGATGCGTAATTGCTAAGCACTTTTATTATATACCTCCCAAAGTATAAAGGTGGTGACCATGCTGGGAACATAAGCCAGATCAGTTTCATGATCAATAATTCTATTGTATTACAAGTCATTACCATAAAGTACAACGAGACAAGAACCTTAGCCCAAGCCCCACACTTGAAAAACACTAATACAGCAAATACCGGATGGAAGTAAGGTATGATATATTGAAACTCTGAGATCAAGAGAAACAACTTCGAGAGCCAATAAATCAGCATTGTGACAAGTGAATATTAATCCAGACAGATCAGTCGTTATCTCAACCCTTTGTGCCCCACATTGGGCGCCAAAAAGAACTGTTGTGGTTTAAACCTAGCCAGACAGCTCTTTCACTCACTCCCCCCCTTTTTCTCCCTCTTTCTTTCCTTCCCCCCGCCCCCTCCACCCCTTCCCTGCTCCAGGAGGGATGGGGAGGAGAATCGAAAGAATGTAACTCCTGTGTGTTGAGATAAGAACAGTCCAGTAACTAAGGTATAACACAAATCACTACTGCTACCACGAGTGATAATAATGGTAAGAGAAATAACAAGGGAAGAGAATATGATACCACCTGCCGAAAAACGAGTCCAACCCAGAAGACCCCATGTGCTTCCGGGTAACTCTCAGTTACCCCCCCGAGCATGACGTGCTGTGGTATGGAATACCTCTTTGGCTAGCTTGGGCCAGGTGTCCTGTCTCTGCATCCTCCCGGCTTCCCCTCCTCCCCAGCAGAGCATGAGACTCACAAAGTCCTTGGTCAGGGTAAACATTACTTAGCAACAACTAAAAACATCAGTGTTATCAGCACTGTTCCCAGGCTGAAAGTGAAAACACAGCGCGGCACCAGCTACCAAGAAGGAGAAAAATTGACTGCTACTGCTAAACCCAGGACAATAGTATTTCCTGTTGCATTTTGTTAAGGATGTTATGGCAACATGAAGGGTAGGTCAGAGAGACGCAGGTGCTAAGGTGGTGGTCTCCTCAGGCCTTACTGGCCCTTGCATACCCTCACCTGGGTTCCAACCAGCGCCTAGCCCCCGGGGCCCAGGCGCCCAGCCTCAGTTCAGCCTGGGGCTGTCGGTGCTGTGAGTTACATCAGAGTGATTCATGAGGCAGCTCAGGGGTCCTAGTGATCATTGCACTTTGTGTGGAGATGGAATCCCTTGTGATCATTGTGCTATGTGCAAAGGGTATGATAAGTGTCCCTGTCAATACCACAGTGAGGAGGAAGAAGAAACAAGGGAATAATTCCCCTGGGTCAACCGCAATATTGTTCAAAGAAATGTTTTGTTCATTGTTTAAGTTGCATGAATGTTATTAGAAAAGGGGGGAGGGGGGTAGGTAACTTAGAGATATGTCCTGTTACAGAACGTTGTGAAATCTGTGTGCTGAACAAATAAACACATAAGGAGTGGAATTTATGGGGGTAAGATGGCAGTCAGACTTGTGATAGACATCTTCCTGTTAATGCATTAACAAGACATTTAGTAACCTTTCTAAGATATTTCTTCACCCAAAGACCCCAGCAACAGGTGGAGAAGCCGGGAGAAGAAGACAACAGGATTGGCTGAAACCCAAGAAGCCCGGGAAAAGAAGACAACAGGACTGGCTGAAACCCAAGAAGCCCGGGAAAATAAGACAGCTGGATTGGCTGAAACCCAAGACCAAAAAGTATAAGAGACTATCCCCAGAAGTTCCCCTTGTGCATCTCGGGCAGAGCGGAAACTCTCTGGTGCACCCAGTGCTGATTGCTTATTGCCTCTCGATATTAATTATAATAAAAAGCAATTAAAACAGATTGGCGATATTAGGTTTTTATAACAGTGCCGACCCAATCTGTTATCGGACAGGGGGGCCGCCTGCTCCCCGGGGGACTTAAAGGGGTCGTGTGCCGAGAACAGTGGACACCAGAAGGACTCAAGTGAGGAACCACGCACCGGCCGCAACCTCCGTACCATCACTGCGCATGCGCTAAGAGGCCTCCCGCCGGCAGCAGCCGGTGTTGTCTCCTTTCCCTTCCCATCCGTTCGCTTCTGCTGCGCAGCCGCAGCCTCCCTCTCAGGGCCTGGACGGGACGGGAAGTGGGCGGGTCCCAGTGGTCCTAGCGGTAGCGAGGGAGAGGATTTCACTTCCTGTGGCTGCCTCTGCGGGGAACCGCGGGGACGCTGAGCGGACTCCATCCCTGTGCGCTGTGGCTTCCCAGGCCTGCTGTCCAGCATGTGGAAGCTGCTGCCCGCCGCAGGAACAGGTGAGGGAACGGCAGAGAGCGGCGGGCTGGGCCTGGGCACTGCGGGCGCTGGCCCTTCCCTAGGCTGTGCGTGTGCGGGTCCTCGGCCTGAGGGCGCCTCCCGGCCTCAGGTTCGCAGCCCGCGGCGGCCCGTGAGGCCGGAAGCTGCCTTGCGGTAGTGCCGGCGCCGGGAGCCGGTGGTTTGGCTTCCACGGTGGTCTGCAGTCGGGCTTGCTTGTCCGTGGTCCTCGGGCAGAGCTGTGTTGGCCCGGTGTGGGCCGGCGGTGGCAGAAGTCCTCTGTTCCGGGCGCTCGTCCAGCACTGAGCCTCCGATATTCCCTTGGGCGCTGCGGACGGCAGCTCCCGTTAAATTTAACAGAGTGGGTTTGGTCTGCCATCCCGTGTAGGGTGTTTTCAGGTGTTGCTGCAGCCAGTGTAGCAGGTCACAGGGCGCTGCTTTAAAGTACCTGAGGAGTTGATCTCTGAGGCAGAAGTCAGCCTCAGGAGTCTCTGAGGTTGATAGCTGCCCTTTCAGAGAAGTTGTGTAACTACTGTGTTGATGCTTCAAGGACCAGGCATTGAACTTAAGACGTCATGTTGTTTCTTGGATG